GCTCGCTGCCTCTCCAGAAGTCACGGCAACCGTAATGGGGTCGTATATATTACACCGTGTGGAATACTTTGACGTGTTGAGGCCGGAGTTCAAAAGGCTCAAAACACCTCGAAGAGACAAAGAAAAAGGCCTCTGCTCTACAACTGTCCCATCTCAGGTGGAAACATGACACAATAAAAGCAGTTCAGAGCAGAGATCTGTGAGTCAAAGTAGAGCGAGTGAGCGTGGATGATGTGTGTTTGTATGAGTGTGTGTGTGTGTGTGTGTGTGTGTGTGTGTGTGTGTGTGTGTGTGGTTTAAGAGCTTTTTGGGGAGTTTTTGTCCCGTTTGGAAACAGAAGCAGCAGCCCGCGGCCCCTGAATTGACTCACCAGGTTGGTGGTTCCTCCATTTGTTTTGACGTCCTGTCACCCTCCCCAGTTAAGCCTCGACCGGGTCAGCTGACCCAGAGTCTTGGCTTCTCGACAATATTTCACAATGATATTCTTCACTCTGACATATTAAACTGGTTGGCGGTCTAGAAAAGAAATACTGTAATCTTTAGAACTCTAGCTAGATATGTTATTATCAGCTTATGTTTTGTTTCTTTGAGTGGTTTTATTGTGTTTTATTGCGTCGCTTCAGGAGAATCTGTGCAGCTGCAGAGTTTCATAAAATGAGCTCAAACTCTGGAGCTCAGATTACCGTTGGATTACCGTTCCTCCAGCATGAAAAGATTAAGAATCACACTCACGCTTTCCACCTGTTTCAGGTTGGACAAGGTTCCAGTTTAGGCCAGTGAGCGTTTAGGAAGAAGAGTTTTGAGAGAGAAGTCTCTGAAACGTGCTATTGTATGCTATTAATAATGCTATTATACATCAAAGTGGAGATAAACTGTTACCTTTTCATTTTGCAATGTGTCGTTTGTGTGTTTTAAATGATTAAGTGATCAACAGAGAATGGTAAAAAGAAATGCATAATGTTCAAATCACTTGGTTGGAATGAAAATAAATTCGGAAGCAGATTATTAATGATGCATAACCCCCATAAATCACGACAGATTCCTCCTTTCTAGCTGGAAAAACAGATTTTTTGGCCTCTGAAAGCATCAAGCTGATTCAGAAGCAGGCGTGTCGTTAACATAGTTCAGCTGAACTTGTCATGAAGCTGCTTCAACTTGTTTAATTGTAGTTAATTGGGTTATTTTCTATTGATTTTAAGCTCTTTTTCGGGGCATTATAGCAAGCTAGATCTTTGGGCAGGTGCCTTTTTATTCGCTTATGATCTTGTTCTCAACCCCAACCTGAAGAATATCATTTTAAAATATTAAAATAATAATAATCTGTGGTCTTTCGTGTACATGGAAACTTTTTGTCCATTGCCCCAAGTTGTTGTAAACAACTTTTCATGTACACGTGATGCATGATATCCTCCATGTCTGTGATCACAAGTCCGACTTTAACCCGTGTGCACTTTTATCCTGTTTGTTGGTTAACGGCACAGAGACCAGCGGTTCTTAAATTAAAGCAGATCCTCGATGGATTCTGGAGAGTTTTTAACTGCAGTAAAGAGGAGAGGAAAGATTCTGTGATTGTATATTTAAAACAATGAGATGAGGTCTGGAGCTGAAGTAATTTAAGAACCTCTGGTGCTGATTTTTGGAAACATAAACAGAAAAAAGATGTACACATGTCCTCGCCGACATTGTGTATTCTTTTATGAGGTTTGCAATGGAGACGATGAAAGTTATTGATCAGACCTTTACCCATTGTATAATCAATACTGGAGAGTTTCATCACATTTGTGTGTTATTGTTATTAGTCAATTCAACATCACGAGTTGGATTGAGGTCATGGACACTCTGCAGGATGCCAGCCGGTCCATGTTGTAGTTTGGTGGCGGGAAACGTTTTTTAAAAATATTTTATGAAGTGGCTAATTATCAGAATACAAAAACTTCTTCCACCACATCAGCAGTAAAAGAGATTATTTTTCAGAAACAAAACACCAAAAATGTGTTAAAATGACTTGTATGGAAGCAAAGAATGGCCATAACTATGTCATTTTCAAATTGCAATACATTCATATTGATGTGCATTGAATTTTACAAGAATTTATTTCAAGTTTTGAATTTTCAAAAAAACAAATCCAATTTAACAAAGCTGGCAGATGTAACGGTTTCCTACTGTTAGCTAGCTGCAGAACTAACGTTAGCTTGTATTCTTACGTTCAATAACTGCATTAAAATTAAATCGTCTATTTTGAAAAACCTCAGATTAAACTGGTCAACTTTGATTTCAAATTTAAGTTATGTCAAAAAATCAAGTATCCATCTTGGATGTAAACACCATAACGTAACCTGATTGGACAGATGTCTAATTGGTTCCATTAAGAAGTGATTGCTTTTCCTTCCTTGACTGGAGGAAGTGGGAATTTTCCATCTAATCGTTTGTTCAAAATCCAATAATAATCAAACTTTTTGACTCAACTTGAATATTTTATATCTGAAAAAAGCCAGTTCAATCTGAGTGTCTTGAAACCGTTTTATTTTATTTAAAGCCTTAAAAAAAACCTTGTCAAGCCTAAAAGTTTTGAAAGCTCAGAGCTTGAAATTGAACTCGGCCTTTCTTTGCCTCTGTAGATCTGGTCAGTTTTCATCCGCCCTGTTTGTGTTTCCTTCCTGAATGTTGTAAACCGCAGGAAGGTTGTGTTGTGTTGTGTTGTGTTTGTTGTCTCAGTGTGTTGTTGCTTGAGTTGTCGACTGTGGCTGCTGGCCACACAAGCTCAAACGGAGGTCATTTCTTCTCTCCAAAATGGCATCTATTGTTTGCTTTGTCTTGTGTTGTTTGTTCCAACAGTGAACTTGTCAAAACTTCTTCCTGGAAGTGTTAACTGTTGGGGAAATCCTTTTATACCTCACATTACAATACATCCACCTCCTAAAGCTATGAGGATTAACTGTGTTTACTTCTTCTCTTCACAGTTGACCCTCCGACAGCGTTAAGGTTTAAGATTTTAAATGAGAACACAGTGCAAATGATCTGGAGCAAACCACAGTCGAGGATACAGGGCTACAGAATACAAGTGACCTCAGACACAGGTGGGTGCCCGTTAAACCTGCGAGTTATGTCCTGCCAAGCACAGAACATTAGAAGTGTCATAAACTCCCTCAGACATCAGTCCGCCCAGCAAGACTCAACACTCCTCGCAATTATCGGAAGATTTGTGCAGACACACGTTTGGCTCCAGGAGCTCTAATGATATAAAAAACAAAACAAAACATTATCACTGCCATGGAAAAATTGTCAGCATTAGTTTAGCTCAAGAGTGTAGATGTCAAATCCATCAGAGTTCATTAAACAGCTGAGATGGTTTGGAAAAAAACAGCCAGAAGTCATCAGCTCAACACTTAACTCAGTGCGGGTGTGTGTGTGTGTGTGTGTGTGTGGGGTGTTTTCTTCCAAGGCTTGACGCTTTGTCTAAATGATCTCAATGCCTCCATGTACAATAATATTTGTAGAACAATAGTGTGCTTCCACTTTGTGGAACCAGTTTGGGAAAGAGTTTCTCCTTCAACATGCCAATCTTCCCATTCACAAAGCCAGCTGGTTGCACTAGTTTTTACTTTAAATTCAAGCTTCGGCAAGTTCTAGTTATTCGTTAAGTGTTTATTAAATGGAGACTTATGCATCACTAGTACATGGACTATTTCATACATAGAGATTAGCTGCTGCTAAATATATACACCCAGTAACAGCTGTTACATATTATGAAATGTTACTAAACTAGCTTGAAGTGCCCAAACTACCGTTAGCTTTAATTACATTCAATTACTGTTAGCCTACATCCTGTCAGCCTACATCCTGTCAGCCTACATCCTGTCAGCCTACATCATGTTAGCCTACATCCTGTTAGCCTACATCCTGTTAGCCTACATCCTGTCAGCCTACATCATGTTAGCCTACATCCTGTTAGGCTACATCCTGTTAGCCTACATCCTGTTAGCCTACATCATGTTAGCCTACATCCTGTCAGCCTACATCCTG